ATCTTCTTTCACTGAGCATAATGTTTTCAAGGTTCATCCTGGCTGAAGAGTTTTCTATTGTTTGGATGTACCATATTTTGTTTATCCACTTAAAAAAATTTTTTTTTGGTATATCCAGTTGATAGACTTTGGGGTTGTTTCTACTTTTTAGCTATTGTGACTAATGCTGCTATAACAATTCACATACAAGTCTTTGTGTGGACAAAACTTTTCACTTCTCCTGGGTAGATACTAGGATTGGAATTGCTGGATCATATAGTAAGTCCATGTTTACCTTTTTAAGAAACTGCCAGACTGTTTTCCAAAGTAACTGTACAATTTTACATTCCCATCAGCAACATACGAGGGTTCCAATTTCTCCATGTCCCCACCAACACTGACTGTTGTCTGTTTTCTGTTTTAGGCATTCTAGTGGGTGAGAAATGGTATCTTACGGTTTTGATTTGCATTTACCTAATGAACGTTGAGTGTCTTTTCATGTATTATTGGTCATTTCTATCACTTCTTGAGAAAAACAGCTATTCAAAGCCTTTGCTCATTTAAAAAAAAAAAAGGGCTATTTTTTTAAGAGCAGTTTTAAGTTCACAGAAAAACTGGGTGCAAAGTACAGAGTTTCCATATACCTCTTGCCCTGCCCACCCTCCAGCCTCCCCTACTACCAACATGCCCCATCAGAGTGCTATATTTGTTGCAATGGAAGAACCTAGATTGACACATCATTGCCATCCAAAGTCCACAGTTTACATTCGGGTTCACTCTGTGGGTTTGGACAAGTATATAATGACATGTATTCACCAGTATAGCATCATTCAGAATGGTTTCTGACCTAAAAACCCTCTGTGTTGTACCTATTCATCCCTCTTTCTACCCTAGTCCCTGACAACCAATGGTCTTTTTATTGTCTCCATAGTTTTGCCTTTTTCTAGTATGTCATATAGCTAGAATCATACAGTATGTAGCCTTTTCAGATTGGCTTCTTTCACTTAGTAATATCCATTAAAGTTTCCTCCACGTCTTTTCATGACTCATTTCTTTCTAATGCTCCAGAATATTCCATTGTCTGCATGTACCACAGTTTATTTGTTCACCTCCTGAAGGCCTTCTTTGTGGCTTCCAACTTTTGACAATCATGAATAAAACTGTTATAAACATCCATGTGCAGGTTTTTGTGTGGACATAAGTTTTCAACTCATTTGGGTAAATACCAAGGTGTGTGATTACTGGATTATATGGTAAGATTATGCTAGTTTTTTTTTGTTTGTTCGTTTTGGGGTTTTTTTGGCTGCCCCTTACAGCATGTGGGATCTTAGCTCCCGGACCAGGGATCGAACCCAAGCCCCCTGTGGTGAAAGCACGGAGTTTTAACCACTGGACTGCCAGGGAAGTACAGAGTATGCTAGTTTTGCAAGAAACTGCCGAACTGTCTTCCGAACTGTCTTCCAAACTAGCTGTATTCGCACCAGCAATGAGAGTTCCTGCTGCTCCACATCCTCATTAGCATTTGGTGTTGTCAGCTTTGCTTATTTTTAAATTGGGCTATTTTTTTTTAGTTGTGTCTTTTATATATTCCAGATACAAGTCCTTTATGGAATATACCATTTGCAAATATTTTCCCCCAGCTGTGAGTTGTTTTAGAGACCTTTTTTTTTTCAATGAATAAGAATATTAAACACTAAACTCACGACAGTGGTTACTCCTAGAGGAGGCAAGAGCATGAACCAGGTTAAAATTACACAGGTAGGTATCAGAGGTAGAGCGCAGACTCTGGAGTCAGCTACCTGGGTCTCAACCCAGTATTGTCAAGTAACTTAGCCTCTGTGTTTCAGTTTCCTCATCTGTAGAATGGGTATAACAGCGCCTATCGCACAGGTGTGTTTCAAGGCTTAAACAAGTTAATGTGCCTGAAAAATGTAAAACAGTGGTTACCAGGAGCATGGTACACATTACATAAATCTTAACTGTACTACAACTTCTTGAGGTGGGTACTGAAGTTCAAAAGTTCCCATTCTACCATGCTTTATCACTTACACATGTTAAATGCTTTTTTAACTTTTGGGGAAGGCTTTTATTCTTGGTTTCTGTTTCTTTCCACTACCCCATCTCACAGTTACCACATTTTTATATTTCAAAAGTTCTTTCTTAACTAATATCTAGTAAATGCCTTTAACAGCAGGCTATAGATACATTGTCTCATTTTGTTTTATCACCTCAGCTCTTTTTTTTTAACATGTTTTTTGGAGTATAATTGCTTTACAATGGTGTGTTAGTTTCTGCTTTATAACAAAGTAAATCAGCTATACATATACGTATCTCCATATCTCCTCCCTCTTGCATCTCCCTCCCAACCCTCCCTATCCCAACCCTCTAGGTAGTCACAATGTTACATGCTTTCTTTTCATGCATAATTCATTTAAATGTACAAATACATTTTTAAAAATAATACAGGGAAAAAATCCAATTTTTTTCCCTTTAAAATGGGTAAGACTGGGCTAGATGCAGGGCCATTCCCCATGCTGGCTGGGGTTCCAGAGCTAAGCTCAGCCCTGACCCCTGCTGCTTCCCCCAAACTCACAAAGTATCTATCAACTGCATTTTCAGAAATGACCAGTAGACTCCAGGCAGGAGTCAGTTTGGGGCAAAACCTAAATGGCAAGTGACCTAGGCTGCACCACCTCACTTTCTTCACCTGTAAAATGGGGATGCTAACAGTACCTACCTGATCTATGAGATTAACTAAGACTAAGTAGAATATCTACGCACGGCCTGACATGTTGTTAGCTGTTATTTTTCCCTTTACCCTTCCAGGCTCCCCTTGATGTTCAGATATATCCTCAGTAGAAAAATGCTGGGAAAGGGACTTCCCTGCTGGTCCAGTGCTTAAGACTCTGTGCTTCCACTGCAAGGGGCGCGGGTTCAATCCCTGGTGGGGGAACTAAGATCTCTCATGCCCTGCAGCAAGGCCAAAAAAAAAAGAAAAAGAAAAATGCCAGGAAAGAGAGGTACCCAGAATGGACGACCTAAGGTTCCTTCCAGTTCCAACACTCTGGGCTGTTTTTCATAGAGATCCAGAGTTTGGGATGAAAACGTCCCCGTCTAAAATGGGGCTGATGATATAACCCACCTCCCTGGGCTGTGGAGAAGGGCCGAGAAGCTCAGAAGCTCAAGGGCAGGAGAGCGCTTTCACGTCTCTACCTCGCTTCAAAAGAGTTGGTTTATAGGGGGGAAAAGTTATTGCGGAAAAGCCGCAGAGGTGCCAGGCCAACGTCACAGCAGTCCAGGCGCCATTACTTGCCTCAGCAGGGCCCACGGCCCGAGCGCGGAAGACCTACGACGTGCGTGCGGATGGGCGCTACCACACTAGCGCCCGGGGCAGTTCGCGGGCGTGACGCAGTGGACGCCAGACAGCAGGCACGCGCCAACTCGCGGCACAACGGCTGGCCTGGGCCCGAGCGCCCCCTGGCGGCGCGGTCGGGCGACCGTTAGGACGTTCAACGGCCGAGCGTTAAGATTCCGCAGGTGAGGCTGCGCAGCCTCCACCTGCCTCTCTCACACAGAGGGAGAGAGGGAGAGGGGGGGGAGGGGGGGGGGATAAATTGGGAATTTGGGATTAACAGATACACACTACTATGTATAAAATAAACAACAAAGACTTACTGTATAGCACAGGGAACTATATTCAGTATCTTGTAATAACCTATAATGGAAAAGAATCTGAAAAAGTACGTATATGTGTAGATGTATATAACAGTCACTTTGCTGTATACCTTAAACATTGTAAATCAACTATACTTCAGTAAAAATATATATATTATAAGCAAACTGTCATTTTTTGCAATTTATGGGAAATGTATGTTATAGGTACTAAACATCTATTTTTTTTGCTTCTTTTAATGTTCTTCTGATTTAAAATTTTTATATGATTTTTCTTATCATGTCATTTTATTTTTTGAGGTAGGTAGGACAGAAATCACAAAATTAAATAAAATACCATTATCTTCAGGATGTCTTAAGCTCTGTAGAGTAAGGTATCAAGTTTCATCTGAAATCACATTCACAAGGCTTCTTGAGGGCTTTAACTGTGCCTCTGTTTCCTTTCCTTTTATTTGTACATGATCATATCTAGTTAGGAAAACTGTGTTAATCTTCATTACTCTCTATATTTCTTCTCTTTGAGATTTGCAACATCTGAGAGAGTCTTTTTGTTATAGGAGTATGTTGTGGTTTGACCCTTGGGTGAAACCTGTAATGGATACTTTGAAGCAGTGGCTTATGGTAGTTTTTGGTTCACAGATCCCTTTGAGAATCTTACACAAACTATGGATCCTTGCTCTAGCTCCATCAATCTGGATCATTTGAAATCTTGGCTTGCTAGGCCTATTGCACAGCTAGTACCTTAGGTTGTCCCTTTATCTTGGAGTTATACTTTGGGATACTTTTCTTGTGATGGATCCAGTTTGCTGCACATCCCATATATACATCTTTCTTGGTTAATTTTAGTTTTGGCAGAGACCTTTTAAATTTCCACAAGATTGTTGTTGTTTGTCTTTTTATTTTTTTAAAAAACAACTTTATTGAGATATAATTTACATACCATGAAGTCCATATCCCCCCACTGTAGGCAACTACAAATGTACTTTCTGTCTTTGATTTGCTTATTCTGGACATTTTATTTAAATGGGATATAATTTAAAAAATCTTTTAAATAAACTATTTTAGAATAGATTTACATTTATAGAAAAGTTGTGAAGATAGTGCAGGAAGTTCCTATATACCCCACACGCAGTTTCCCCAATAGTAGTATCTTAACATTCAATATGGTACATTTGTCACAATTAGTGAGCCAATATTGATACATTATTATAATTAAAGTGTGGGTCGAGGGAGAGGGAGAGGGAGAGGGAGAGGGAGAGGGAGAGGGAGGCTTCTCAGCCAATCAGAGAGCCCCGTAGCGGTTCTCCCGCCCGCCAGTAGTTTAGGGGCGGGACTTTAAGTTTTAGCCAATGAGAAAAAAGATTTGTCCCTCGGCCGGACTTACGGGTTGAAACGGGGTGAAGTTGGGAGGTGGTTTCTTTCGCAAGATGGCGGCCAGCGGCCTCCGCCGGGCTGCTGCGGCCAACACCTTGGTGAAGCCCATTTTCAGCCGGGACATGAACGAGGCCAAGCGGAGGGTGCGCGAGCTCTACCGCGCCTGGTATCGGGAGGTGCCGAACACTGGTGAGAGGCAGCGGCGCACGCGGGGCCCCGGAGGCAGCCGCCCAAGGTCGCCGCCGTCCCGGCCTCCCATTTCTGCCGGGCCGAGCCGAGGTCACCAGCTTGGGCAGAGGTGATCCCGAACGCTTCAGGGGAGGAGGGTCACACGAGCCTTGGTGGGCCTGACCTGGCTGCGGCGGCGGCACGGTCAGACCAGTAGTGCTCTGCGTCGGAACCGCGCTGCTAGGGCGCCCTTGCCCTTTTGTCCCCCGTAATTCTTCCCGAACCCCTGGGAGGGAGAGCAAGGACTGTCAGTGACACACTCACTTTATAGATGAGGCAGCGGAAGCACCTAGAGACGAAGTGATCCGCGCAAGGCCCAGAGCCAGCCCCTGGTGGATCTGGAACCCAGAGTCAACTAGAGTTCCTGAATGTGTTTACAGACATCCATTAGGTTATATAAATAAAGGGGCGGTGGGATTTGAGCGATCATCTGGTTCCCACATCCCCCACAGAGAAAGAAGCAGAACCGGAGCAGGGAAGTGACTTTCCCAAGGTCATCCAATAAGACAGTGGTGTCTTTTCCAGAGGTGCCTCCCTCCCCAGTCTCCGAAGTCTTATTACCTAGTGCCACAGGCCCCTAGTATTCCTTAGGAACTCCTTCCCCTGCCCCCCCAGAACCCCTGTCTTCGCTTAGATGTCAGAGAACCAATCTGTTCACCCGAAGGATTAAAATATAAGCTCCCCGGGTTCAGAGACTTTTCATCTTGGCATCCCCCTCAGCGCTGCCCAGTGTACCCGATGAAAGAAAACTTGGGGAAAATCCCATCTGAACTGTCAAGGGCAGTACAGATGTCAGGGACTGTCGATATTTGGTAATTTTGTTGATTTGATTTAGTGTGTTTTATCGTGTTTTTAAGGGAGCTGGAGCGCCATAGCACCCCTTAGGGTGCCACTTCCTTGCCTGTGTGTGAGAAGCAGTAGAATGTGCTGGTTACATGGACTTGCCTCCACTTTCCCCTTAGTAGCTGTGTGACCCTGAGCAAGTTGTTTCATCTCACTGTGCCTCAGTTTCCTCATCTGTAAAATGATAATATGTAGTACCTTCTTCAGAGAGTTGCTCTGTTGAATAGGTGAATGCATCTAAAGTGCTTAGGATAGTGTCTGACACTTAAGACACTCATTAAGTGCTGGCTGCTACTGCTGTCTTGTTATTATTGTTACTGTTATGTGTAGGGCTTATTCTCCGTGCAGAACCCAGCTCTTTAATGTACAGGAGCTGTGTCTGCTCCAGTGTCACTTGTCCTCAAGCTGACTTTTTGAGAGCTTGCCCATGACCATAACTTAGACCCACAGGATACAAGGGAGGGAGAAACCGGAGTGATCAGGGCGGTTCAGGCACTACAAATTCACATGCCTTCAGTGGACAGATGGATAATAGGCTTAGGGGAGTGACAGAAGCTTTTGTGTGTGTGTGTGTGTGTGTGTGTGTGTGTGTGTGTGTGTGTGTGTGTGTGTGTGTGTGTGTGTGTG